GCATCAAGAACTTCATCTACTCTCGCCGGCCGAGGCGTCGGCTCCGCGGGCGTCCACCTCCAGCCGCACGCACGGGCGCAGCAACACCGGGAGGGCGCACGACTACAACAACGCACGGGGCACAAGGCTGCACCGACGTGGGACGACGACGCGTTCCAGCTCGTGACGATGACCTGCGCCATGTGTGCACGGGCTCTACATCAACAATCTGCCCAGCCATGTGCGCGCCAGTCACCCCCGGGCGCACGATCGCCTCACGCTCTCTAGCGGCCATGATCTGCACCGATGCGCCTTCATCCAACTCATGCAAGCAGCGGCTCCTCCATGGCTCCATGCACCTTTGGCAGCGCGTACAAACAGATCGACGCCGGGACGGTGCCAGATCCGATCTACGGACGCAAGCAAGGTCGCGCCGGCGGGTGACGGGCAGGCGGCCCACGCACTCGATCGGCTTTAACACGCACGAGCCATATCGGCGCGTACACGCAGGCCAGGAGGGCCAGCCAAGAGCGACGGCCCCTTCACTTCGAGCCGCCCACGACTTCAGGCGGGACGAGCGCATCAGCCCGACATCTCCCGGACGATCGACACGCATTCTTTCCGCTACAGCGCGCAACAGGACCATGCTCCTCCCTCTGCAGCCCGCGCAGACGATGGACACTACCGACCTCCCGACTCCCCGTGTGCCAGTGCGCGTCTCCAGGAGACTACCATGATCCGATCTACATCGCCTTCAACGCGCCTCCATCCCAACTGATGCATGCATGTGTGTTCAGATCGTGGATGGCGAAAGCCAACTTCTACGAACATAGAGCATAATTGGTTTGATGCTAAAAATTGGCATGCCAAATTTTGGCAACTGCCAAATATTGGCTAGAGATTGGTTGCTTGCCAATTCTCGTTGCCAATCTCACAAAAAAGTTGCCAAATGTTGGCAACTTTTGATTTTGCCAAATGTTGGCTTGCCAAATATTGGCAATGCCAAATGTTGGTAGCAAACCAATTATGCTTATACACACGAGGCTGCACTTGGGGGCATGCATACGCGATACACATCATCATCGACAGCGCCAGCGTCATCGACTAGGAGTCTACGGCGAGTCGGCAACCTGCGCGACATCGATCTGCATCGACAACCTCGTCACGGGCCAAGCCACGTCCAGGTGCCACTGCACCGATTCAGCGATCCACTACTTCATCGAGCCAATATTGAGCTCTACGACTACGTCAGGCTACGAGCCAACATACTTCTTCAAGCACGACACGGCATCGACACCGTCGCCACGAGGGACGTCTTCAAGCGACGCATCATCGTCGACACGCCGCTGCTACGCCAACGCTGCAACATCATCGCCGACTCTTCATCAACGTGGTCTTCATCATCATCATCATCAACACACCGCCGCCATCTCGTCCACAAGATGGACACCTAGCGTCCTCTGACAGACTTTTCTACAAGACGCGACCTCGAGGACGGCAATGACCGCGTCATGACGACGGCATCGACCGCGTCATCCACGACGGCACGACTGCATCGACACGGCGTCACTACATTGACCACCCTACACGGCCACATGGTTCTGGCAAAACCGATGTGTGCTCGATGGGTTTCCTCCGGTCTTGGCAAAACTGGTGGACTCATCGCCGACGGCACCCTCTGACATCCGCAAGGTGCATCGTCCACGACTGCAGCACCGTCATCTACAACATCGCGCAATTTTTTGCGCCTCTGGCTTTGTGCGGCTTCATCATCCACGACTATCTCGACCACGGCTACATCACATGATCGGCTACCTCGACATTGACATTAATGGCTACGTCTACAGCAACTCATCGGCAACAACTCCAGTCAACAGCGTCCGCGTTGTCACTAGCGTCCACGCCACTCCCGCTGTGACTGCGGGAGGGAATAGAGGAGAAGGCAGGAAGGCACCAGAAGAGGACGCAGTCACCGCCCTAGGTGCCGACCCATCAGAGACGCCGTTGATGATGGCGCGGCGGAGAAGACGACGAAAGCACAAGAATTCAAATTCAGTCGTCATCGTCCGCTTCACTCCCGCTACGACTGAGGGGGAATGTTAGAATATAATTGTGTTTAAGATAGAGGTAGGAGTTAGAGATAGAATAGGTTTACTTGTCCTCTACTCCAAGTCTCTCTCCCTCACAATGTATTCTATATATACCCCATATCAGGGTCGGATCAATATAACAACAACATAATATTCATCCTACAATTTCCACAGAGATGGGTGAGCAAGGAGAGCCTCTCGAACCCACTTGCCGGGAGACTGTACTGGCCAAGATCCATATCTTCTGAGGAACCTCCGCCAAAACTGTTCATGCTAAGGTCGAGTAGTTGGAGCGAGGTGAGGTTGAAGATTGAGGGATCAAGACCCTGACTATATAATCCAATGCCACCAAGATCTAAAGCGGTGACATGGCCTGAGGAATTGTTGCAGCCAACAACTTCCCAAAGGCAACAGTCGGTACCATCCTGCCATGACTCAAGGCCGCTGGGGTAACGAAAGAAAGAGAAGGATTTCTTTAGTTGGAGGAGGCTTGCAGCCTGGTCTGGGTGGCATCGGAGAGTGAGATTGCCGTTAGCATGGGCGCCGGAGGTGGTGGCGAGTGCAGCAAGCACCAGAAGAAAGACTAGTAGTACCCGGAAAATCAAAGCCATTGGTACTAAACAAAGCAAAGCACTAGTATTGTTTCTTTCTTAGAGGAAAATGCAGGATCGCTACAAGGCCTTTTGTAGAGCCCCCAAAGAAACAAGAGGTTCAGAGATAAGGTGTCTACGGATTTTTCGGAAGGTATTATTAATTCAGGCGTAATGCTGGTCTTCGCTCAAGTTGTCCAGTGGGTGAGACAGGCCAGGAAGGAAAGCTCCAGTGAAGCAAAAGTTGTACTGACGTGCAAGACGGGTTGCGTGTAATGGTTACCCTTGTAGAATTTTTGCTCGGACAGATACCATATGTACCATCAGACAGCCACATCAGCTACTTTTCTTTGGAGCTAGTACTCATCACCAAATTTATTATAGTGAAATTGTGCGAAGGAGGACACTCGGTTCACTGTCCCAGTGGCGTTAGATTGTGATTTGTGAGCCGCGACCAGTCGATAACCAACCATCTAGTCTTGCAGATTAATTGCAGGAGCAGCAGGCTGTTGCTGTAACTATAAATATCCTTGATGGTTATAGGCTCCGTCAAACGAGACTTGTCATATCCTATTGAAGTACTTGTGTCACAGGCATCAGATTATGCAGAATAGTCAAGCTTGGGTATAGATCAAGCACCTGCGTGTGTATGTGTATGTGTATGTGTGTGTTGGATGGGTTCTGCATAATTGGGACTCTGCTCTATTTCTATGTAGCTGGAGGGGCGCGTTCGTCTGCTGGTTACTAGGCCGCGCTAGCTGCTGCGGGCTGCAGTAGCTGGAGCCCGTCTCGCCAAATCTGGATGAGGGAGGAGCGTGCGAGACAGATCCGATGCTTGGAGCTTGGCGGGCGGCGTGGGTTTGGCAGTGGCCCGATGTGGCAGCTGCCCCGGTCGTGGGTGGCTCGACAACAGCTTGGCAGGTCGGCCGCGGCGATGGCTGGCATATGTTCGGGCATCGGCTCGTTTGTAGGCAACTTGTTTTGGCCTTCGACCCCTCTTCTTGTCATCCGGGTGCTACATTCGTCGAAGGGCTGGCCCTCTCCCAGCTGTTGTCCATCGTTGAGAGAGGATTCCGCCGCCAGGCGGCCGCGGAATCATCCTTGCCTCCTGTATGGTGGTGGTGAGCCACCGGGGAGCTCGTCTCGCGCCCGGGTGCAGGAAGACGGGGCGATGGAGACTAGTTTTGGCCGGCCTAGTTGGATCTTGGCGCTGGAGGCCGCCCAGGGGTGCGAAAGGAGGGCCCTATCCACTCATCCCATTGGTTGGTGTAGCGGCGGGTCTCAGGTGATGTGGTGTCAGGGTCTTGGATGCCTGGGACGGTGACCCTCGCGGTGGGAGCGCGGTGCTCATGGACAGAGCCCGTGACTCCGTGTTGCCCAGTGGCCATGGCCGTATGGGCGGCGTGGTAGCTGGGGTGTGGCGTTCGGTGGCTGTGAGTGTTAGCCGAGATGAAAACATGTTCTATCTTAGGACAGACCGGCGGCCGCGAAGCTCGTCCCCTTCTCGAAGGCTTCATCGCGGCTCTCATTGCCCATCATGTTGCTCCAAGGAAAACTCTAATCCTCGGATCGGACGGTGGCTGCGCGCCGGTGTCGTAACCTTCCTGAAGGCACCATCTTGGAGCCCACGGTTTGTCGTGTCTGGCTTCATCTCTTCGCGGTGGTACCCCGGTTGCTCTTGTAGTGCTAGAGGTGGTGTTGCTGTGCTCAACGCCTATGTATCCTGCCTTGGGTGTGTGCGCGTGTTGTGGTGGCGTGCATTTGTATCGGGTTGTTGCTAATGTTGCTTTATATATAAAGCGGGCGAAAGCCTTTTTTGGTATTTTGAACCAAGACTACAACATATACTCATATAATTTCCACACTGAAATCCTATCTCACAAAGGACATACTCCCTCCTAAATATAAGTCTTTTTAGAGATTTCAAATATAACTACGTACGGATGTATATAGACGTTGTTTAGAGTGTAGATTTACTCATTTTGCTCCATTATTGAATCTCTAAAAAGACTTATATTTAGGAACGGAGGGAGTAGAAATTATCTTATCAGAAGTGCGAAGGGAGTGCCACCTCTAGGTAATCTTGATTCGGTATTATTCTTCGGAAGATTACCATCTGGATGCATGCTTATTAGTTATTACTGTTCCATTAAATTTATTTGTCTCTTAAAGCAACAGCGAATAGTCATAGTAACCAATGGACATTAAACTTAAATAAAGCATACATTTACGAAGGAATATGCAGTGTCGACCCGTTTAGTACTAGAAACTGTAGGATATTACTTGTATAATAATTCTTTTTTAAAAACTGCTCTCAAGAATAAGAATATAGAAGTCTTACCACTGAGAAGATTAAATGAAAGATCTAACTCAATTAGGCGAGTCAAATTAAATACTGAATTTGGTATTTTCCCAGAAAAGCTACACTCTCGAAGCCATAGTGATGTCAATTTCTTGAGTAGTCCAACTGCATAGGGTATTGGCCCAGAAAACCCAGAACTGTAAATCTCCAAAGCCTCCAAATTACTAAGATTGCATATTGCAGCTGGCATTGGCCCAGAAAACTCAGAAGCAGAAATTTCCAACCTTATCAAGCTACTAAGATTGCCAATTGAAGATGGTATCGGCCCTAATAAACCATGAGCATTAATTTCCAAGCTTTTCAAGCTTCTGAGATTGCCAATTGCAGATGGTATTGGCCCTAAAAAATCATCAGCAGTTATTTCCAAGCTTTCCAAGTCTGCGAGGTCGCCAATTGCAGATGGCATTGGACCATTCAATTCGCACCGATGAATCACCAAGCTTCTCAAATTTACTAGATTACCAATTGCCGGCAGTAATGGCTTGGTGAAACTGCAGTAATACATTGACAGGCTTCTCAAGTTCTTGAGTTTGGCTACTGAAGAAAAAGATTTCCAAGAGAAGTTCCATCCTCTCAGTTCTAAGCTTGCCAAGTTTTGCAGGTCTCCGATCCATGACAAAATTAGCCCCAAATCTTTTGTTGAGTCCATCTGGGTGAGTTCCAAATGTCGTAAAGACGTGTGAATACCGAGTGAAGATTGATGCTCCATAAAAGCAAAATCCACATCAAGGCTTAACGCTTGCAAAGACTTGAAATTGCTAAAAGAGCCTGGTTTTCCGAAGGAGAAATTGGTCACGTCTAGCATCATTGTCTCTAAAGAACTTGTGTTGGAGAAGTTGGGCATGTGCCCTGAGAGATTCTCATTAAAGGATAAATCAAGAACTCGTAGAGTTTTTGATTCAAAGGTTCTACAAGGGAACCACCCTTGGAGATTTGTGGAACCAAGTCGGAGCACACTTAAATTGAGAAAATCCATGAAAAACTCTGGAAAAGGAGCTGTTGTCTCATAGAAGTTATCTTGGAGGTTGATCACAGTTAGGGAGTGGAGGTTTGAGAGCAACGGACAAATAGGACGGCGGAGTTGACACGAACTCAAGCTAAGAACTCGGAGATGGGGAAGAGATTTAGCAAGAGCATGGCACCAATCTCCGCTGCTAGACATATCCACTCCATCAAGGTAAAGCTCTCTCAGATTGCTGAGGTTGGCTAAAAGGATCTGAAAGCTGGGTTCCTGCAGTGAGAGCAGATTATAAACAGAATCATAGCCATAAACAGAATCGTCATTGGGTTCATAAAGACCAGAAAGATCCAAGGAGATAAGGTTGACAAGTCCGACGATGCCAATAGGTATCTGGCCTTGGAAACCCGAATTGGAGAGGTTGAGGTGGGTGAGCAAGGAGAGCCTCTCAAACCCACTTGCTGGGAGGCTGTACAGGCCAAAATCATTCATGCTAAGGTCGAGTAGTTGAAGCGAGGTGAGCCTGAAGATTGCAGGGTCAAGGCCCTGACTGTACAAGCCACACCCACCGAGTTCCAAAGCAGTGACATAGCCAGAGGAATTGCTGCAGCCGACGCCTTCCCAAAGACAACAGTCAGTACCATCCTGCCATGACTCAAGGGGGCTGGGGTAACGGAGGAATGAGAAGGATTTCTTTAGTTGGAGGAGGGTTGCAGCCTGGTCTGGATGGCATCGGAGGGTGAGGTTACCGTCACCATGGGAGTTGGAGGTGGTGGCGAGTGCTGCGAGCACCACAAGAAAGACTGGTAATACCGGGCAAATCGAAGCCATTGGTCCTAAACAAAGCAAAGCACTTGTTTGTTTTCTTTCTTAGAGGAAAGGCAGGATCGCTGCAAGGCCTTTTATAGAGCGATTGTTCAGAGCCAAAATAAAAAGCAAGAGGTTCAGAAATAAGGAGGCGACGGATTTATCAGAAGGTATATTATTTCAAGCTTAATGCTGGTCTTCCCTGAAGTCGTCCAAGGGATGGAATGGGACAGCAAGGAAAGCTCTAGTGTAGAAAAATTTGCACTGACGTGTGAGACGGATTGAACATAATTGCCACCCCAGTAGAAAATTTTGTACTGGCATGTTAGCTAGCAAATCAAAGCCATTGGTCGTAAAACAAAACATAGCACTTGTTTGTTTTGTCTCCTAGAGGAAAGGCATGATCGCTGCAATGCCTTTGATAGAGTGAACGTTTAGAGCAACAAAAAAAAAAAGAAAAAAAAGAAACAAGAGGTTCAGAAACAAGAGGCTCAAGGTTCAAGTGATCCGGTCCGGTCCGTCCCTGGTATTGGACCTGAGACCCTGCAGGAAATTTTCATGTTAAAGGTTTGGCCGGCACCTCCCACACTTGTGACGACTAATCTGTTAGAAGGTATATTAATTCAGACATAATGCTGGCCTTCACTGAAGTTGTCAAGGATCGAATGGGCCAGGAAGGAAAGCTCCAGTGAAGTGAAGCAAAAGTTGTACTGACGTGCGAGACGGGTTGCATGTAGTGGTTACCCTTGTAGAATTTTGGCTTGGACAGATACCATATGTACCATCAGACAGCCACATCAGCTACTTTTCTTTGGAGCTAGTACTCATCACCAAATTTATTGTAGCAAAATTGTGTGAAGGAAGATACTCGGTTCACTGTCCTAGTGGAACTAGAGTGTGATTTGCGAGCAGTGACCAGTCGATAACCAACCATCTAGTCGTGCAGATTAATTGCACGAGCAACAGGCTGTTGCTGTAACTATAAATATCGTTGATTGATACAGGCTCCGGCAGACGAGAAGTACGTGTCACAGGCATCAGATTATGCAGAATAGTCACCCTTGGGTATACTCCCTCCGTTCCTAAATATTTGTCTTTCTAAAGATTTCAACAAATGACTACATACGGAGTAAAATAAGTGAATCTACACTCTAAAATATGTCTATATACATTCTCTAAAAAGACAAATATTTAGAAACGGAGGGAGTACTATAGATCAAGCGCCTGCATGTGTAAGATTACCTCGGGTGAAGAATAACTCATTCTGCACCCTGGGTGATGAATAGTAACACTCTATCGCTTCCCAAATAAATTACGTTTAAAATATAAATAGTTACAAGCATATTGATTCAATACGTAAAATTTGGTATAAAAAATAAAAATATAGGTTATAAGACCAGAAAAATCACATTTTATGTATGTTTTACATTATGTTTTTAGATTCGTAAATTTACGTGACATAAAATATTTTTTACGGCGAGTACATACTTTTTTAGAATTCCTAAATAAATAAATGATTTTTTAGAACTCCTCACTTTTTTAGAATTCTTGAACATTTTCTTAAATTCTGTTTTTATAAATCGCTTTTCAACCGTCCAAGGGTGGCCCGGTCAACCGCGACCAGTCAATTATAAACTGAATGACGAGAGAACTGAAAAAAACCATGCATCACGAGCGATTGCTCGCCTGTTGGTCGGGCCAACCCACAAGCGGAGCTGCATGAGCCCCCGTTCGCTCTAGTTGCGCATAAGGACTGAAGAGGCGCTCTCCCCGACCTATTCGGCCAGCAATAGTTGCGCATATCGTATGTTGGTCAACCGGATTTTCCCAAAAACCGACTACAAATAGAATTTTTATAAGTGACAATGTACAAATATATGTGAATTTTCAAAATATGTCAAAATTAAAAGAATTTCAATAAATATTGCAAACTTGCTAGAAAATATGAAGAAAAAACTAAAATTCAGCAGATTGACCGGTCAGGGGTAGGGGGTGGGGGAGTGTTCCCACCTAAATACATAACCATTGAAACCATTGTAGCACCATATTACATGGGAGCATCGTGACGGGATGTTAGGTACAACTGTCAAGATCTAGTAGCGTCCCTTTTGTCTAGGTCTTTGAATCTAAAAATCAAATAGAGGGGAAAATCATGCCCAATGTTTTTGATAGTAGTGAGTTTAGCTACAAGTCTATCGTCGCAGAACGCTAGAGCGTTGCATGAGTCCCATATCTTCCATAGAATGGTGAGACCGCCGGCGGGGGACGGTGCTTGTTCCACGCTTTTTGGGGGTTCTTCCGCGCTCCGGATAGGCAGCAAAAGCACACCCCCGGGCCTATATCGCATGTTGGGCTGACCAATTTTTTTCGCAAAAATTGACTACTGCAAGAATTTTAAGAAGTTTCCAAAATTAAAAAATATTTTGGAATTTAAATATTCTCACTACATTAAAACACAGTCACAAAACATAGAGAACGTTCTCATAATTTTAATATAATCATGCATTTTAAAACACGTTCACAAAATTTAAAAAAAAACCCGAATTTAAGAAAAATGTTGAAGAATTTATTAGAAATGTGCATAAATTTTAAAAACGTTCATGCATTTAAAAATATACATTAATTATAAAAAATGTTGATTTTAAATAATATACATGAATTGAAATAATGTTCTTGATATTAAAAATGAAAAATGAAAAAAAACCTAAAATATAAGTTGGCAAAAATTAATCATAAATTATAAACAGAAACTAAGGGAGCTGGGAAAGAGTTGTGCTTTGTGGCTGGAGGCTCTGCAGTCAAAATAAATCATAAACACTTTTGCAAGGATATACACAAACAGTTCTGCAAAATGATGGTCAGTTTCATACGTCCACTACGGTAACTGAAACAAAGAACGAACTATGTTTTAGACAGAAGACATTGCCACAAGAAGCTAGTCATATAAAGGAAATCAGATCCGTTGGCAAAGCGTATAACCCTTCTCAGGCCGCGTGCACTTTATTATAGTCGAATAAGAAGATTACAAACTTATTACAATATTTGCCTCCAAGTTAAACCTAAATAGCACGTTTAAACCTGGAGATGACATACATTACAAGATGTTTAACCTGGAGATGACATGTATTACAAGATGTGAAACCTGGAGATGTAATATCTTACAGATAACTACACGATACAGAAGATATGACGTAGCAAAGGCTTAATAATACTCTACATAAAAGCACTGCACACACATCACTAGCAGCAACGGTTGGAGCAATCTTCAGTGTTCAGATCAAGTCCTCAAAGCTCTTGCAGATTTCACAAACCATTTGCCAATCTGACCCCATCTCATGAGGATGGCAGCTGCAAATCCGATACCAAACCCCAGCCCGACGAAGAGAAACAAGATGACATCCACATGAGAGGACTTCTCCCCATGCGCCACACTTGGAGGAGCGGGTCGAATGCCGCATGGGTTGGACAATGGCAGTCCACACAGCCCCAGATTCCCTTCAAATGAATTATTTTGGAAAGTTGCAAATTGACCTGACCGAGGTATCCTTCCCACCAACTGATTGTTGGACAAGTTCAAGATACCAAGAAAGGTGAGATTTGTTAGCGCATCCGGAATATCACCAGAAAGCTGGTTTTGAGACAGATCTAATGATTCTAGTTGAGTCATCCTGCCAAATTCCTGCGGAATATCACCGGTGAAGGCATTGCCTGACATGTTTAGTACATGTAACGAAGTAAGTCTCCCAAGCGATTCAGGAATGGTGCCATCAAATGAATTATTTGACAGGTCAATTACTGTTAATGTAGTCAAGACCTTATCAAATGTCCCGTAGACGCTTTTGTAATATATAGTAACAGTATCCTGATATGAAGCTCCTGCTTGCATCCCAGAATCAGATGAATTATTATCCCCGAGAATATCACCTGTAGTATTCAACTCATTCATCATTGATTTCAACCCATCAAACCATTCTGGACTCAAATTGCCGAAGAAATTGTTTGAGGCAACATCAAGAATCTGCAAGTTAAAGAAGTATTCTCCAGATTTTTCATCGCTGTGAAGATCACCACCCATTGAGCCATAGAATCGGTTGGATCTCAAGACAAGCACACGAAGTCCGGAGAGTACCCCCAGCCATGATGGAAAGGTACCTACCATGTGATTGTTTCCTATGTCAAGGAACTCTAGCTGCAAGCACTTGGTAAGTGTCTTTGGAAGCTGCCCTTCAAATTTATTGTTGTTCAAGTCTAATATCTGAAGCACACATTGGTCTTTGATAATGTTAGGCAACACACCTTCAAATTGATTCTCCCTCAAACTCAACACACTCATGGAACCTTCTTCTATTAGACAGTGTGGTATCCATCCACTGAAGCTGTTAAATGATAGGTCAAGGACACTAGTACGTGAATTACAAATTGAGTTTGGTATGTGTCCACTAATATTGTTTTTGGAAATCTTGAATTGAAAGCCAAGATATAGAGTGAAGTTTGGAGGTACCGAAGAGAAATTGTTGTTTGAATAATCCAAGAAAAATGCTGGCGGGCTTGGCATAGGAATCTTCCCCTGAAGTTGGTTGGAACTGAGATCTAGAGCACCCAACTTATAGAAAGGGAGAACAGAAGAAGGATGTTGCGTAATGCTGAACATGTTATGTGAAAGATTCAAATATCTAAGGCTACTGTTCCATGTTTCCCATATCCACTTTGGAATAGCACTACTGATTCTATTGCATGACAAGTCCAAGTAGGACATTTGATTAAGGGGTGCCAATGAACATGGGAATCTTGTTAAATTGCATCTTGCTAGTTCCAACCAGGTTACTCGAGGGAGATAGGTACAAAGAGAGTTTTTACCTTCTCCATATATGTCTGTAACTGATAGATTGTTGTTGGAAAGACCCAAATGGACGAGATTTTGTAACCTCCAAAACGAGGAAAGATCCACCGAACCCATTAAGTTATTCGAGCAAATATCAAGATAAGCCAAACTTGTGAGCTGAAAGAATGACTCGGGAATATTTCCCATCAAGTTATTCCAGCCAATATCAAGATAAGCCAAACTTGTGAGCTGAAAGAATGTCTCAGGAATATTTCCCATCAAGTTATTTCTGCTTAGATCCACTGATACCAAATGTGAATATGTCACGTTGATATCTTGTATAGAGCCAAATATTTGGCTTGAGAAAATATCTAGGCGTTGCAATGTCGGAATAGTGAAAATTGATACTGGAAGTTCCCCTGCACATAGCGTAAGCATGTTCAAATATAAGCATATGTGGTTTCTTTCAAACAAGCCATTGACAAAAAACTACTCCATTAATTTTTGGTTTATATGATACAAAATCACAATCATGAGTACAGATTTTTTGACAACAAATCTTGTGACATCAATTTCATGTCACATAAATCATTGTGATAGCCTTGAAAAAACGTTTATACAAGAATTAACAAATTATAGCCTTACCACTGAGATCATTTAATGAAAGATCTAACACAATTAGGCGAGTCAAATTAGATATTGAATTTGGTATGCTTCCAGAAAAGCCAGACATTCGAATATCTAGTGATGTTAACTTCTTGAGTAGCCCAACCGCATAGGGTATTGGTCCAGAAAACTTGGTTGCAAATATTTTCAAACTCTCCAAGTTACTAAGATTGCCTACTGCAGATGGCATTGGTCCTGAAAGCACACAATCAGAGATTTCAAATCTTATTAATTTACTCAGATTGACAACTGAAGAAGGTATTGGTAAAAGAGTAAGAAAAGTTACCAATATCGTTGTAAACACCAAATATTTCCAAGCTTCTCAGGTTCATGAGCTTGCCAATTGAAGATGGTACTGGCCCTAAGAAATCACAGTTGTTGATATTCAAGCTTTTCAACTCTGTCAGGTTGCCAATTGCGGATGGTATTGGGCCATTAAAGTGGCAAGAGAAGACCTCCAAGCTTGTCAAGCCTACTAGATTACCAAATGTTGATAGCGCTGACCTAGTGAAGATGCACTCATTGATTGATAGCCTTCTCAAGCTCTTGAGTTTGCCAACTGAAGAAGAAGATGTTAGAGAGAAGTCCCAATCAGAGATTTCTAAGCTTCGCAAGTTCTGTAGGTCTCCAATCCATGATAAAATTAGCCCTAAATCGCTAGTCGAGTCCGTCTGAGTGAGTCCCAAATGCCGTAAAGACCTGTGGATACCGAGTGAAGATTGAGGCTCCACACTGGCAAAATTCACATCAAGGCTTAATGTTTGCAAAGACTTGAAATTGGTAAAAGAGCCTGATTTTCCAAAGGAGAAACTGGTCCCGTCTAGCATCATTGTCTCTAAAGAACTTGTGTTGGAGAAGTTGGGCAAAGGCCCTGAGAGATCCTGATTCCAGGATAAATCGAGAACACGTAGTGTTTTCGATTGGAAGGTTCTACGAGGAAACCAACCTTGGAGATTTGTCGCAGCAAGTCGGAGCACACTTAAATTGAGAAGATCCATGAAAAACTCTGGAAAAGGAGCCACAACCGTAGGTATACCGAAGTTTCCCTCGAGGTTGATCACAGTTAGGGAGTGGAGGTTTGAGAGGGATGGACAGATAGGACCGACGAGCTTATAATAACTCAAGCTAAGAACTTGGAGACGGGGAAGAGATTTAGCAAGAGCATGGCACCATTCTCCGCTGCTAGACATATCCACTCCATCAAGGTAGAGCTCTCTCAGATTGTTGAGGTTGGCCACAAGGATCTGGAAGTTGGGATCTTGCAGGTAGAGCACATTATCCCCGTCATCACTCATCAGTGATGATACCATCAGTGTAAACATACTCAAGATCATAATTAGAAGAAAGATCCAAGGAGATAAGATTGGTAAGTCCGCCAATTCGAATAGGTATCTGGCCTTGAAAACCTAAATGGGAGAGGTTGAGGTGGGTGAGCAAGGGCAGCCTCTCAAACCTGAATTGGATGAGACTATACTCGCCAAAATAATTCATGCTAAGGTCGAGTGGTTGGAGCGAGGTGAGGTTGAAGATTGCAGGGTCAATGCCTTGACTGTACAAGCCACGCCCACTGAGTTCCAGAGCGGTGACATGGCCTGAGGAGTTGCTGCAGCCAACACCTTCCCAAAGACAACAGTCAATGCCATCCTGCCATGACTCAAGGGCGCTGGGGTAGTGGAAGAACGAGAAGGATTTCTTTAGCTGGAGGAGGCTTGCAGCCTGATCTGGCTGGCAGACGAAAGTGAGGTTACCATCACCGTGGGCGCCGGAGGTGGCTAGTGCAGAAAGCACCGCAATAATAACCCAGCCAATTGAAGCCATTGGCCTAAGTTCTAGCATGGCAGTGTGCTAGTTTCTTTTCTCTTTGAGAGGAAGGCAGGTTTGTTGCAAGGCTTTTTATAGAGGGGACGATCAAAGCAAAATAGAAAGGCTCAAGACTGAACTCTTCAGCTCCAATAAAGTAACGGTCAGGACGGCCGGGGCACCCAACAAAGAGTAGTAGCACCCAACAAATTGGAGCCATCGGTCTTTCTAGAGACGATAAACAAAGCAGAATCCAGTTTCAAAAAAGATAAACAAAACAGAACAAAAGGAAGGGGTACATAAATAGTTTTTTCAGAAGTTATATTACTTGAAGTTTTTCACTGGTCTACGGTCAAGACTCAAATCTTCCGAATAATGCAACGGTTCAAGACAAAAAGCACCTGCGAAGCAAGACTTGTACCATATGTGCGTGAGGGACTGAGCACAACTGTGACTCTTATAGATTATTTTCCACTGGACAGAGACCATATATGCCAGTAGAGCAGAGTCAGACAGCCATATCAGCTAATTTTCTTTGGAGCTAGTTTATTCTAGTGAAATTATATGGAGGAGGATGGCGACTTGGTTGACTGACTGTCCCAGCCCAGCGGCACTAGCTAGATTGTGACTTGCAAGCAGTCAAAACCACCATGTAGTGGTGCAGGTTAATTGGAGTACCAACACGTAGCTTTGATTAATTGGTTATTAATTGTTTATGTGTGCAATCAGGTAACGCGGCAATAAATTAGGCTACCGAATCATCACGAGTCGAACTGGATCTATACTATACTACCTACTAATAAAAGAAATAGGTATTCTTAGTCCGTCATGTTATTTTATAAAAAAAAACCTTAATTTTCCGACATTAAACCCGTGATATGTATCAAATGTTTTTTAAAATACTCATATCTTCTAAATCGTAACTCTAAATTTAACCTGTTATATATGAATTTTGATTAGAAAAATATGTAGAATCCGAATATGATGTTGTTTTACCTGTTAACAATTTTTTAAAAAAATACTATCTATGGTGCAATCATAATAAAAAATGCATTATCCATCTTTCTTTCATACCGGTAGTGAATCGGATAGGGATAAACACCTCAGCAAAATTAGGATTGGACACGGAGACCATGCAAAAATGTTCTTTTTCACACACACAAAATCTCTCTTTATGCTTAAAAATCTTATATCTTTTTAACAACTCTTCATGTATTTAAGAAATATGCATGTGAAAAAAGTGTTCAAGAGTTACCCTAAGTTGGTGATGCTTAAAGTGAAAACCGCCCTTGATGCACACGTCTCCGTAGTGTGCTAATGTGTCATCATCTGTTTTTGTCGTTTTCCTTTACCGGCCCATAACAATACCCCATTTCACACATAACATGAATAAATGCATGATCACTTGCCCGTTTCTTTGTACGGATTAAATCTATATGTAAGCCGTGTTGAAATAGAATACCTGTGGAATCTTGAATTGCGTTTTTGTAAGCTAAGACAATCTTTGTTTGGGTCGTAGTTACAAATTCTCATATTATACATATTTTTTGTTAATTAAGAGCTCGTGGTATTTTGTTTTTCCGTTGCAACGCACGGGCCTTTTTGCTAGTAAGGATAACAATAATATGACGGATCAGGCGAGACATTGGAATAAAAAAAGCTCGAACGAAGGATCCGGGCACTGGGCCTTTTATGTTATATATGCCCCCACATCAATCAAACTCCCTACAAGAAGTGGTGACTAGAAAAAGATTTTTTGGTACGGTTTTAAATTAAAATATTTATTTAAGAATATTATTTTGAATAGATAATCAAACCACATTGTTTCTTAGTACAAACTATACAGGGATATTGTCATCACTATATATATATATGTCGAACGCTTCAACCGCTAACTGACACGCGGATTGCTCTATGAATGGCCAAGTTTATGAAATGCAGATGGCGAATCGTTTTATTTCTATGTAAACCCCCCATGGATTATGTAGAACCTCAATGCTTGGGTATTGACCAAAGAATTCTGTCAATCTCCATGTTCTCCATAATCCAGATACAATCAAGTAAACATAACACTAGCAAGATAACATCCCAACTAGTGAGGTAACGAATCATGTAGGCACCACAAGTACACACAGTTGAGCGAAGGTGAAACATCTCGAACTCAAAGGATCGTGCAACACACAGAAGGAGATCAGCCAAGCCCCCTCCTGACCTGCGCAATGATGAGGGGCGGCGAATCGATCCGTAGTAGGACCTCTGAGTGAAGGCAGCTTCACCGCACGCATCATGGAGGCAGTGCCTCTGAGCGCCGACAAAGGAAGTGCAATCCAAGGCCCATTTAGCAACACGCTGGGTCGGGCATGTAACGTGTCGGAAACGCATGCTTCTGGGCTAACAGGCGAAGCATGAACTACCCAATTCCTATTCGGCGCCTTCTGTGGCAGCTAACATGCATTTCGTTAACTGGTGCCCCAAGGCATTCTGCATAGGCCGACCCATATAGGGTTGCAGCGTGAGAGAGTTGTTCCTGTTTTTTTTTAGTTTTTTCTGTACTATTTTCTGTTTGGTTTTTCCTTTTCAATTTATTTTATTTTTTCCTTTTCCTTTTTATTTATTTTTCAATGTTGCTTTTACTTTTCTTTTCTTTTCAAAATGCATGAACTTTTTAAAAATTCAAAACATTATTCAAATTCAGGACTTTTCAACATCCATGAACTCTTCCAATTTCTTCATGTTTGTTAAGGTGGTGAACTTCATTTCTTCACATTTTTTTTGAAATCTCTCAAACTTTTCCCGCTCACTTTTTTTTTCAAAACTGATGAACTTGTTCTGAAATTTGGAACTTATTTTACAAATAAACAACATTTTTTTCATCCATGAACTCTATTTTATAAATGCTGCAATGTTTTTTCATATACGTGAACGTTTTATTTTCAAACTCTATGAACTACTTCTATTTTTTATGTTTTCTTTCAAATTCATGAATTTATTATTATTATTATTGTGAACTTTTTTCACTTATGAACTTTCCAAGCCTTGAGCTTTTATCAAATTCATGAACTTTTCCCAAATCTATGAATTTTTCCAAATTCCCTCAATATTGTTCAATTTTAGGAGTAAAACTTTTCTAATTTCATGAATTTTTCCATAATTTTGTTCAAATTTTAAAGTTATTTTATTTCCAGAATACTTTTTTTAAAATTATAGAAAGTTTTCAACTCCACGAACTTCTAAAACCTGTCATTCTTTAGAATTCTTGAACATTTTTTAAAATTCCAATTTTTAAAGATTACTTTTCAACCGGTCAACTGCGACCAGTCAACTAAAAACCGAATGATGAGAGAACTGAAGATAACCATGCATGCCGAGCAATCGCTCGCCTGTTGGTTGGGCTGGCCCATGAGCGGGGCCGTTTGAGCGTTCGTCCCTCTAGTGGCGCATAAGGCACCGAAGAGGCGCTCTCATGAACCTATTTCGCCAGCAGTAGTTGCCCATATCATATGTTGGGTCGACCGGCTTTTCCCAAAAACCGACTACAAATAGATTTTTTTTTCAAAGTTTACAATATAAAAAATATATGTGAATTATGAAAATATTTCACAAATAAAAGAATTTTAGTAAAATATTGCAAGCTTGAGGGGAAAAACATGCACAATGTTTTGATAGTGAGTTTAGCTACAAGTCTATCGTTACATAATGCTACAGGGTTGCACGAGTCCCCTATCTTGCATAGAATGGTGAGAGCGCCGGCGGGGGGCGCTTGTTCCACATTATATTTTTTTGAGGATTGTACCGTGCTGGATAGGCAACAAAGGCGCACCCCCGTGACCTATATGGCCCGTTGGGATGACCTCTTTGTTTTCCCAAAAAATAGGCTACTGCAAGAATTTAAGAACTTTCTGAAAAATATTTTGGAATTTAAAATTAAAACACGGTCAAAACATATAGAACATTTTCTGCAATTTTAAATGTCCATGAATTTTAAAACAGATTCACATTTAAAAGAACGAATTTAAGAAAAATGTTGAAGATTTTATTGCCAATGTATGCAAATTATAAAAATGTTGATGGATTTTAAAAATATACATAAATTTTTGAAAACGTGGACTTTAATATCGACACTTTAGTCCCGGTTCGGGAACCGGGACAAATGGGCCTTATGAACCGGGACAAATGAGGCTTTTTCTACTAGTGCAGTGTTGCCACATCATCTATTAATTCATGCATGTTAGTCATAAGTAATTTTTTGCATTAGAGTTTTATCTTTCACATTTGTGAGAAATGACATTCTTTTAACTGTAATTTACTTTCTCCTTTTATATGTTTTTAAGCTTATATTTGTTTTCTGTTAGTTTATATGTTTTTCAAGCAATTTATGCATCTTTAAAGCAACTGTAAAAACTGTATACGGTTCCCCCTGAATGGATTTGCGGTACGATTTGCATGTCGGTAGAACGGATCCCATATAAACCAATTGAATTTACAACAAGGTCCCTGCAAAATATTAGAAAGCACCCTCACACATAAAAAAGCAATTGGATCCTCCCTTTATGAACTACTGCTCCACCTAAGGATGGCAATTTTACCCATGGGTACGGGTACCCGCTGGTACCGTATCCGCATGGGCAGGGTATGGACACACTTTTATACCCACGGGTAGTACCCATATCCTACCCATTAAGTCATGGGTAGGGTACGGGTATAGTCTTGTACCCACGGGTATACCCATACCCTGCCCGTTTGTGAACTAATGTTTTTTTTTGGAGAACCTTTGTGAACTAATGTTAAGTTGTCGTCAATTAGTCATTAATTTGTCATGTGACTCGTCTACTCGTATTAACTTTAGAGTATGTTGTGATTTCTAAATTTTGATATTGGTCAATTACTCATCTACCTATTATTGTGATGAGATAATTGTTTTTTTGTCAAATGTGCTATCAATGAGCATAAATTTGTGAACAACATGTGTACTATTTGTCCTACCCGCTGGGTACCCAATGGGTACGGGTACCCGTCGGGTATGGGTATGGGTAAAGTTTCATACCTATGGTATGGGTATGGGTAAAATTTTGTATCCATTGACTGTACGGATATGGGTATGGTATTGTTCTACCCTGCCCATACCCTACCCATTGCCATCCTTAGCTCCGCCGTCAATCAACAATGCTGCGTAGGTGAAGGCCCCCGCCGCCGCAATCGTGCATCTCCGGAGTCTCGGCATCGAGCGGCAGCAGCTCGAACAGGGAGCGGCCTGGGCGCCTGCGTGGCGGGGATGGGGGTGGCCGTGGCCCGTGGGGGCAGTGATGGACATCAAGGAGAGAAGAGGGGGGTGG